CTGATCCACGAGGCATAACGGGGCAGTCGACAAGGGCTTTCCTTGTTGACCGCAGAGCGTCCAGACTGCCCCGCTGTGCCGCCAAACAGCTGATCGGCACAGCGCAGCAGCCATTTTGATGTAAATGAAGTGGCGATTATTTAAATCGCTGCTTCATTTCCCTTTTTCGAGTACACTCATCTACATGGCTCCGTCGATGGAGCCTTGTAGTTTGAAAGGACTCTTAGACGGCCTTTGGAGTCAAGCAGCAAGTGCCTGCCCTTGAAAGGACTCTCTTTGAAGCAATATTAAAAAAGGCGAGGTGATGACTAACTACCTACATGGGAGGGATAAATATGAGGCTTCTTGCAGAGGGACCCCGGGTTTTCATCTTGTCAACATTGGAGCATCGATCCGGCTCCATCTAACTCATCTGGCCAGTGCAGTTAGGGGGAGCAACTATTGGTAACAATAAGACGGCGTGTGCTTGTGTGTGTGTGTGTGTGTGTGTGTGTGTGTGTGTGTGTGTGTGTGTGTGTGTGAGTGCATGAGCGTAATGTATCATATGCATATGATAAAGTATTGATTGATCTATGTATGTTCAATAAATGTGGCGTGTTGCCTTATCCCCCTGAAAAAGATCCCAGGTGCTTCTTTTAAGCACAACACAGACACCAATCAGGAGTCCTGAAAGATTGTAGTAAATGACAAATAGAAAAATCATGATTAGATTAATTCACTGCATGTGGGAATGCATCTTTAATGCAGTCAGGACCCGATCTAATGCCCATTGAAATCAACAGGAAAACTCTCATTGTCATCACTATGCTTTGGATCAGGCCCTTAAAACTATGAACATTAATTGTGCAGAGAGAACTGGAAACGCTGCAAGTTTGGACTCAAGAGTTTCTGCCTAATGGATCATTCAGTTACACAGAACCAAACTCATGGGAAGAAAAGTCTCCACATTTCAGTCTCCTACTGAGACTCAAATCTATTGCGGCAAAGGCTATTCACATATAGGGGTGGAGGTCTTGGGTCTCCACCCTTCTCCCTGCCTCCTCCTATTTCACTCAACCTCCATGGCAGACCAGCTCCTTAAGAAATAAGGAGATGGTCTGGAGATGACTCTTCAAATCTACCAGCAGTTTAAAGCCATGTCTACGAGTGATGTAAAATCCTGTTTAATTAGTTAACTGGTTAAATGTTACGTTTATTTTTGTATCTGATTAAATGGTGGCAGGTAAAGGGGGGCATTGCAATCTGCACCATGGGCAGGAGCTGATCCAGCTCCAAAGGGCTGCTGGCTCCCAGTCTGCATGGGCTGCAAGCCAGCAGCCCTCCCTCTCCCAACTGCTACTTCTGTCCCTCTCCCCCACATGCAAGGCTGCTGACTCCCCAGCTCCACAGTGCTGTGGCTGGAGGGCTGCTCCTGGGTAGTGGTTAACTGTTACCCAGTAAGCATCACCCATTAAGGCTGTGTCTAGACTATATGGCTCCATCGATAGAGCCATGTAGATTAGGGTTGTAGGCAAAGGCAAATGAAGCCGCGATTTAAATGATCGCGGCTTCATTTACATTTACATGGCTGCCGCACTGAGCCCACAAACAGCTGATCAGCTGTTTGTCCGCTCAGCGTGCTAGTCTGTACGCCCCCCTGCCGACATCAAAGCCCTTTGTCGGCAGGGGAGCATCCAGACTAGCGCGCTGAGCGGACAAACAGCTGATCAGCTGTTTGTCCGCTCAGCGTGCTAGTCTGTACGCCCCCCTGCCGACATCAAAGCCCTTTGTCGGCAGGGGAGCATCCAGACTAGCGCGCTGAGCGGACAAACAGCTGATCAGCTGTTTGTCGGCTCAGCGCGGCAGCCATGTAAATTTAAATGAAGCTGCGATCATTTAAATCGCGGCTTCATTTGCCTTTGCCAAAAAAACAAATCTACATGGCTCCGTCAACGGAACCATGTAGTCTAGACATACCCTAAGAGTGATACTTACTGGGTAACCTGCTACCCAGTTACCCATTCACATCCCTAATGTCTATACCACAAGTGTTACAGTGGCACAACTGCCACACTACATCATGCCACTGTATCACAGACACTTTTCTACCTCTTCTAAATCTACCCCCTCGCCAGGCAGTAGCTAGGTTCACAGAATAATTCTCCACCAACCTACCAGTGTTTACATGGGGGTCAGGTTGTCTTAAACTGCATCTTTTTCATAGCCCTGTGTGAGGTAGTTAGGGCAACATAACTTATAGCTTCATACCAAGCCTCAGTCTGAGTAGGACTCTCCCAAACTCTGTAAACCAACCCCAGACCTAACTATCAACCTGTGACTGATAGCACAAGGCTGCTGTGCTCAGAGTATAGCAACACCTGCTCAGTGGCCCCTGAACTCAGCCTCTCTCAGCGGCAGCCAGCCATTTCCCAGACCTGCTTCCTACAGCCTCAGGCTGAGAGACAGCTGGTGGTGAAGCAGAGCTGGCAAGCCTTCTCTCTGTGTGGCTAAGAATATGGGTCAGTCCGGAAGAGGGGAGGGAGCAAGGGGGAAATTATGGTATTGTTAGGGCTGGGGGAGAATACTGGAGTACTGTGGAGACAGAAAAGAAAGCCATAGGGATAAACAGAACCTACTGAGGAACCATGGGTAGAAAAGAGGAAGGTTGGAGGGAGACCTGTGGGGGCAAAGGGAGAAGCTAAATGTTTTAAGAGATGTTTTTGAGTGCATGCTAGTGATTGGAGCTTTTGTTTTCACCTCCTTTTCTCTCATCCTTTTAAGGCAACAACCAGTATGTCTACATAAACCTCTGTTGGATGCAACTCATCAACAGTATTGTCTCTTGCAAAACTCTTCCTGCAGCTAGTTGAAACCACTTCATGCTACCAGTAAAAGAGAAGAGAGATACTTGAGCGAGCTAAAAATACTTCATTCAACTCAAAGATGACTGTTTCAATAGTATTCCCAGCTGTTGTACGTCTAGGGAGCAATCAACAAATGTATACCTGAAATTGAATGCCCAATTTTCGCAGTTCGACCATCGCGGATTCACGACTTCGCGGACTTTTTTCATTACATTATGTATATACGTGAATCCGCGATGGTCGAACCGCGAAGTAGCGAGGGCTCGCTGTATACATGTTAAATATACATGTCCCTACTTCGCGGATTTTCAACTATCGCGGTCGGGTTTGGAACCTATCTACCGCGATAAACGAGGGTTCACTGTATTTTGCTATCAGATGCCCATGTTGGGCTACTCAAGCATTTTGGGTATGTCTGCACTACAAAACCTGAGTTATGTCCATACTGCAATCGTGTTCTTCTGAAAGTAAATCGAAAGAACAGAGGGGTTTTTTTTTGGCATTGGCAATCCTCTTTCTATGAGGAAGAAGCCTTTTTCTGAAAGAGCTCTTTCAGAAAAAGGAGTGTGTGGACGGGGAAAAGGGAGTTCTTTTGAAAGAAGAGGAAAGAGGAAAACACACAGGTGCCCTGGTGGCCACTCCATCCATAGTAATCACAGCTTAAATGCAAGATAGCGTCCATTAAGTGTGGATGCTATCTTTCGAAAAAGCAGATCACTTTTGTGTGTGGACACGCTCTTTAGGAAGAAGTTTTTTTCGGAAGATCTCTTCCGAAAAAAGGTTCTTCCGAAAGAAGAATGCAATCTAGACATAGCCTTTGAGTAAAGAAGAGAATCCTTGAGTTAGTGAGAAATAAGGTCAAAGCCAGAAGGTTCTAATCACAAGAGAGTCTCTCTTGTGCCCAAGCATTCTGCACCATTATAGCCACATGCTTTGACCTGATGAATTCAATCCACATCTCTTGTTCCAAAAGTACCTTTATCCAATTTCTCATGAAAATAAGGATCGGATTTTGCCTAGTTTTGTTTAATTACAAATACCTGATTGGAAGACAAAACACTAAGAATAACACAGACTAGCAGGTGAATATTATTAATGCCTTGCTCTATGCACACAGTAAATTTGTTCCACAGGAATTGAGAAACAGCTGTATCACATGTATTGATACTGGAACCTTATTCAGTTTTATACCAGGAGAGTACTGAACATAAGAATTTAAAAAATGTGTTTCTTTTATTGCTGGTACATCAGACCATCAATATAGTCCTTTGCTGCACTTCATGGTCATCCTATGAGATTTATGACAGCAAGGACTCATTTGTCAATGGGGGCACATCTACACTGTGGGATAAAGTCGAGTTAAGATACACAACTTCAGTTGTGTAGCTGAAGTCGAAATAGCTTAATTCGGCTTTTGATACTGTCTACACAGCAGGAAGTTGAAGGAAGAACCCTCTTCTTCTGACTTCCCTTACTCCTCATGAAATGAGGTTTACAGGAGTTGGAGTAAGAAGCTCATTATTTTGAAATTATTTTGAAATAATGGGCTTGCTGTGTAGACACGCACTCTGTTATTTTGAAATAACATGAGTTATTTCGAAATAAGGGTGCAGTGTAGACATAGCCTTGGAGGCCTAAGGGAAACTGCTCCTAAACTGTCTGTACTTTGACTCCATCTGTTCAATAACTGCCCAGTCAGCAAAAGTATTTCCAATTCCTCCTAGATATTTTTCTGAGGTTTATATTCTCATTTGCTAAACATAGGCTGAGCCATTACAAGTCCCTTGCACTTCTTTGACACTTAGTAAGTAGTAGCTAAACAAGTCAATAAATAACAATCCTGTGATGGACTTAGCACATCCTGGAATGTACTGCATTCACTCTGTGAGCAAATCCTGGGAGATACAGAAATGCCCTGTGATCTCCATTTGGCTTCTGCTGCACACCTACAATCTTCCCAGTGACAGCTGAGTGTTCTGTTTCTATTGACAAGGAGACACATGAGAGCTTTTCAAATGAGATTGGGGACGCCTATCTCATTGGATCCTGGGTGGGGGTTTGGCTCAGAGTTTTGGTTGGGCTTTGGCATGGGAGGGGAATTCTGCATTTTTATTCTAAAGAAAAAACTATGAGTAAACAGGGACGAAATAGCTGGTTCAAAAGGTTGTCTTTATTTTAAAAATAAAGTAATTAATATATTTTAAACATTAATACATAGAAATTTGGCATGACACTAAAACCTATAATTTCACAAAGTGGAAATTTCATAAGGTTAATGTATATATATTTAAATTTTAAACCTAAACTCACCCTGATGACTCAGACCTGCAATTTGATCCACATGGGCAGACCATTATTCACTCATGCTGCCCCACTGAAGTCCATGGGGAATCTTAACAGCCACAGGGGTCCAGCTCTGAGAATCGGATTTCAAGAGTGGGGTCTGTGCTTACACATTTTGGATCATTCCACCATCTGTCATCCATTTGAACTGTAAGTTTCTGGGAATACAGGGTGCTTGGGACCAGCCAATGTTGGTGGGCTAGCACAATGGGCACCTCATCCTGACTTTGAGCACTCCATCAGTCAGTAGAAATAAGTTTTAAAATGCTACATGGTACAGGTAACTCAAGACTGTGCCCTATATTAAGCCACAGAGTCTACAGCCCAGAGACCTTTGTGTCAGCTCCTTCCTTTGAAGAATTTCAGGAATGAATCTCAACATAAGAGGACAGAAACACATTTTACCAATAGAGGGAAATGGAGCTCTGAGTGACACTGCAGCATGCACCACAAACTGTGCTGCTGTGAGAGGTATTGATTATTTACTTGCTATGAAGTAAGAATGATTCCCTCACCTGATCTTTTCTTACCTGGACTAACAAGGCCTTTGTAACACTCTCAGAACCTCGGAGGGAAAATCAAGCCCGGCTCACAATGCTGACCATTTCAAGCGATGAGGCAGCAGGGTTAGAAAGGGCTCACATCCAGCCTCTCTCAGCTGGAAGGAGGATAGGCATGGAAAAACAGGGTAAGGGTAAAGTAACTAAAACCGGGTTGATCCTCTGAACTTCATTAGGTAAACTGGAGTGACTTCATCTTAGTCCTTCTTTCATGAGTACAGTAGGGATAAAAGTATAACCCCTTGGCCAGATCTTGGCTTTATGCTACGCTGTTTTTCCCACTCCTGCATTTGCAGTGCTTTTAAATGATGGGAAAAGAACGACATGAGTGAAAATGTTGCAGAGCTTTTTGTTCTCTTCCTTTTTGTGCAGCCTGCTTCCAAGGCTAAGTTGGTTGCCTAGGAAACTGCAGTAGGAGAAATTTGATTGAATGTGTAGCCAGACTCAGCGTCAGAGTTGTGGGCAGAATTTTGACTGAGAGAGAGAGAGAGAGAGAGAGAGAGACTTGAAATCAATGGAAAGATTTTAATTCACTTCAATGGGTTTCGAATATGAAATCAATGGAGAGATTTTAATTCACTTCAATGGGTTTCGAATACAGACATTACATATAAGGTTATAACATCTAGTACTATAGTTAATTCCCTCCCAGTGATCCACGTTTATTCTTAATTGTTCATTTTTTGGAGCAAAACCTGGATGGGTTTTTTCCCTTCCAGTATGTACTGCTTTTTTTCTTGTATTAGCTCAAAATTTAGCTTCTGGCTCTTGGGGATAAACTCAAAGTGGGTATGAGTGATCTTAAAGGTCAGCGTTCCCTTTTGGATATTTTCTTGGATGTATATTTTATGAAAACCTATGCTCAAATTTGTGATTTGGTGGAGTTATGATCTGCTTGATTTAACACTGAAAACGTACGTATATGTCTATGCGTACACACAATTATGCATTCACAAATGTACATACTGTATACATTTTGCACATTCAAATGTTGATAGTTCTGCCTGTAGCTAGCCAATATGAAATTAATGGAACACAGCATCACTTTTGGCATTGGTAACACAAATACTGCCAACTCATTCCAATTATACAATTAAATTTGCACTAATTTCATTGCAAGCTGCAGTTGTTTTTTTTAAGTACAATATACATAGCTACAGTGCAGTGGTTACTGGGAATAATCTATGTAACCATTATTCTGAATCATCACCTGAAGCATCTAGTGGCTTAGTGAAAATAGGCTTAATAAAATGGAAATTATTTTTAGGAATGTAATTATAGAATTAGATTTTGATTATATGATAAATGTGCCACAAAAATGTTCACTTGGCATTAAAACTACATACTAAGTGTAGTCAGCCATATAATTAAGTTGTTGCTGGTTTAGACCAGTAAAAGCAGATTTTACAGGGAATGTAAATGATCTAATTTGTCTTTTACATCACTTATTAAAAGTAAAACCCAATTCAGCAGCTTTCAAGCAGACTAGTTTGAACGTTGAATGGTTTTAAAAGGAAAATATGCCCAAAGAAACAAGTAGCCATCCTAACATGTAACTAACATGGATAGGACTGCTCTGAAGAACACCATAGAGATATCACAATATTCAATAGTTAAGCATACTGAAATGTATGAGAGCGCTTAGGAAGGATTAGTCATTGACTGATTGGAGAACAGAACAAAGAAAAGCAAAAAGCTGATGTAAATTCAGGACACAGTGCTGCATTTTGTTTATTCCCGTGGAATGTCTGGCAGCTTTATTAATATAAATATTTGCTAAAATCTGAGAAAATTGCTACTTCTTAATCCTAGAATATTAAAATAGTTTATGTGTTTGGGCTGTGGGTTCATTTTATCTCTAAAATGAAAATTCACAGCTAAATAACTTATACACCTGAAAGCAAACAAAATGCAAAGTGAAATAGACCATATTACTGGTATCCTACGTAATTTGCTGAGCACAGAAAAACATTCCTTGTGAAGCATAAAAAATACTGCTCCTACATGCTCTCTTAAATTCCATATCCCTGTCTTGCATTGTTACCATGTTCACTAATGAATTATTTCTAATGCCCTATCTGACATATTTGGACTTGTCGTAGTAATCAGAATATTGGAGTAGTGTGATAAAAAATAAAAGCAAGCAATCTGATAAATTGTAGATCATACACATGCTCTGATAACAGTGTAAATCTGCCACAACATGAGGACAGGTTTGCTATAATATGATTCGTTTTGATTCAGAGTTCAGATAAAGCTATTTAACAAGAAAATTTAATCTATGTTTTGTGTATTAGAGTCAGTTGCAAATAGCCGCATGGCATGCGGACAGAGGTCAATGTTACATTGCTAGGGAGCAGCTACAAAAAATGAAATCCAGTCTCTAATCCTGGAATATGAAAAGCTGGCCTCATCACCTAGAAAACATCAGACATCATTACTCATGGAATATCTGGAAATAAGGCCAAGGTTTGCAAAGGAATTTTTTTTAAAAAGCCTTTAGCAATATAGCCCCTGTCTGCAGTGGAAAAAAAATCTTCTTTGTGTAAATGAACCAGTTTAAAACCTCACCGTTGATCCTATTTTTGCAGGCTGTTTTAAAGTGATCCGTCTCATTCCAGTAAGGAAGGTCTAAATGACAAAAAAAAGTATTGCAGTTAATATTTGTAAATTGAATTTTACGCTGATCAGGTTGTGAAGTTATTTGTTAAATTTCAAAAGAATCAGTACTGACAATGGTCTCTAATCTCTTTACAGATCGCTTAGCTCCTCCCTGAACACACCTATGGACAAACACTAATTGCATATATGGTGTATGTGTGTATTTGTGGGGACAGATATGTGGATAATTAGCAACGTTGCAGTATCCCTTTTAATTGTTCTTTTGTGTCTCGAAACTGACGAGCTTATTAAAGCTTCCTTAATCTCCTCCCCAGGGAAAATCAAATAATCAAATGACAGTAGAATTTACATGTAAACACCCATTGAAAAACAGGTTGCGTTTCTCACTACTGCATGCGGCCAACCTATCACGTCTCAGAAAGACCTAATTTTCCTGTATTGATCTCGGAGTGCTCCTTGTTTTACCTCTAGGGAAGAGGCTGGGTCCCTCAAGAAATCCGGATTTGTATTAAAAACCACTTGTAACCCTCTTGAAGGGTCAGTTTGGGGATCACCACCGTGGGAATGAGGAGGAAAGGCAGGGGATCTGGCGTTTCTCAGCCATTATTCTGGAAATGAATTAGGCTCAGCCACGAAAGGGAGAGGCGAGAAAAGGGGGGGGGGGGGGGGGGGCGGAGAGGTTGCAGTTTGATGCTGCAGCAAAGGGAGCAGAAACAAAAGGCGGATGCGGAGGGAGGGAGGGAGCTCTGTACGTAGCAGCAGGTTCGCGCCTTCCTGTCGCACGGCCGGACTTCGGTTCACCCCTCTGTGTAAACGCCGGCCGAGCGCTCGCGTTCCACAGGCTTCGCCGGCTGCAAGGGAGACGCGCGCCTGGCCCTCGAGCTCCGCTCATGCCGCTGCCGGCTGCTCTCAGGAATTGTTTCTC